GTTAACTAATATCACTTCAGCCCTTATCCACCTTGGCTTTGAACAGCCAGAACTTCCGGCCCTTGTCCTAAGGTCAGGGACCCAAATTAAGCCTGGGTTTGGAAGCTTTACCTACAGCTGGCTTTGGGGAAAGGAGGGAAGGTTTTGTGCATGACACTTCCCAAGTGTTTACTGGATTGTGTCATAGCTGGTCTCCAGGGCCCCACCCATAACTCATTATAAAAAGTCACTGCATCTGCCAGCTACCAGTTCCACCTGGCTCTAGGTACCTCCTTGTCTTGGCATGGCGCTGCCCTGGGCCCTCGGAATCCTGAGCCTCCTTCCTCTGCTGAATGCCCAGAGCGCGCCGTGTCACATCAATTACTCAGTGCCTATCACCAATGCCACCCTGGACCAGGTAGGTACCTGGGCCACTGAGCACTGTGGGCAGCTGTTTCCCTCTCTGGGCTTCCCTTTGCCCCATTGGCTTGTGGTCAGCCTCCTCTCCTGACTCTGCTTTTTTCTCTCTTGGGTCCTGGGGTAAAATTCTGGCCAGCCTCCGGAGGCATTCTTCTTTCTCCAGAGGCATTCATTCTTCTGCCTCCAAACTCAGAAGCCCCATTGCAAGATTTCTTAGCAGGGGACAGTGCTGTATTGGGCAAAAAGGGGTGGCCGGGAGGTGGGAGTGATGCCTGACCCTCGGTGAGCTCCTGCATGCCCACTCCTGAATGCGGGGGCTCAGTCTCCTGATTTGCAAATGGAGGGAGAGATCTGCTCCAGTCTCCTCCGAGCTGACTATCAGGATTCAGCTCCCAACCTTTATCACCAACTCCTGGCTTCTCCCCAGCTCTCTCGCAAGTGGTTTTATATCGCCTCGGCTTACCGACACCCCGAGTATAATCAGTCGGCTAGAACGTTCCAGACGGCCTTCTTTTACTTTGACCCCGACTACACGGAGGACAGGTTGCCGCTCAGAGAGTACTCGACAATGTAAGATCCGGACACACTAGCTCACCCCTAGTCCCAGCTCCTGGCTTCTACTCCCAGCTGCCAGAGACCTTGAGCAAGCCCCTCCCTCTCCCTGGCCTCAGCTTTCTCAACCATGGAATGGGGAGGGCTGACTCGAATTGCCACCTGACTCTTACCCCTCGATGACTGTGATTGTCCACTTCTCCTTGACCTTCTTACTGTTTTTCACCCCTCTTCTGTTTGACTTTAGTAACGACAAGTGCATCTATAACTCTAGCTACCTGGACATCCAGAGGGAAAATGGGACCATGTCCAAACACGGTGAGCCCTCAGGGGGAGGGCTGCTGGGTGGAATGGGGAGGTGGTGGGTGGGCCAACCTAAAGGAGGGGACCTGGGACTAAGGTCCTAATGGCATTGGGCACAGAGAACATGGGACAGGCCCATTTCTTCTATCTCTGTGGGCCCAGGACCTGCTCGCTGAAATAATCAATAACTGCCAACATTTGTGAGTGCTTACTTTGTGCCAGGCATTGTTTGAAGTGCTTTACAGGAATTAACCCACTTAATACTTATAAACAACCCTAGAAGGACATGACAGTGATCAGATGAGGAAACAAAGATGTCAAGTATTTCTCCTGAGGTCCCACAGCTTGCAATTAGAACTAGGATTCAACTCTAGGGTTGGCTCCAGTCCTGCCTCTCAACCATGCTTTATCCTCTGGGCGCTAAGGGCAGGCTGTTTGTTGGACCGGCAGTGACTTCACCCATGCTCCCACCATCCCCACAGAGAGTGCACATAGTAGGAACACACAAATGCCAGTGTAACTGGACGGACACCACCTAGGAATCCTGAGGCCCCCCTCCTGGGCCTTCCCCCCATCTGTAAAATGGGGAGAAAGGCCCTGACAGCCACAGTTCATGAGGCCCCTCTGAGTCCACACACATAAGCGCGTGGCCTAGTGCACAGTAAGAGCAAGGGACATGTGCCCAGGTGAGCCCCTGGCCTTCACTGATTGACTGTATGGCCCCGGGCACACCTAGGTTTCCTCACCTGTGTGGCGGGAACCATTGTGCCATCCCCATGGTCTCACCCAGAGGCTTCCTCTTCCAGAAATGGGCAAAGAACATTTTGGCCACCTGGTCTTCACCAAGGATCCCAGCATCTTCATGCTTGCTGCTTTCCCAGAAGACAAACAGAACATGGGCCTGTCCTTCTATGGTAGGCACCCTGCCCCCAAACTCCCACCCAACCCAGGCGTCCCCCCAGGGCCACCCGCTCCTTGGGCTGGGCGCCCAGACCCCCAGCCTTCCCTGGGCCTCCCATCAGGCCCCGCTGGCATCCTTACCAGCCCGCTTGCCCTTTCCTGCAGCTGACAAGCCACAGGCAACCCAGGAGCAAATGAGACAGTTCTATGAAAACATCATGTGCATGGGCATGGACAAGTCGGAAATCACATACACCGATGAGAAAAAGGTGAGTGCAAGGAGGACTTGGCAGTGCCCACCCAAGGGTGCTCCCCCCTTGGGCAGCCCCAGAGGCCCCGAGAGGGAAAGCTGCAAGCCAGGGCTGCACAGCGAGACAGGAGATCCTGCCTTTAAGCGCCCGCCTCAAAGCAGGGACAGCTGAGCTTCACAGAGGTCTGGGGGTGGGGTGGGGTGGGGGAGAGAGACAAGAGCCCAGGGGGGACATCATTAGGAAATCAGGGAGTACACATGGAGTAGGTGGGGAGGATCAGGAAAGCGAGCAGGAGGGGAACAGTATAGCCAAGGTGTGGTGGAAGGGACTTGGGGAAGAGACACACGTGGGGAGTCATCAGTCACAGCTGCCTGCCTGCCGCATCCAGGCTTCTCATAGCACGTGATGGGGAGCTGGTATTGCGGTTGCCCAAATGGCAGCAAGTCCAGGACTGCCACGCCGATTTTTGCTATAACTGAGCATTACCTGTGTAAAGATCTCAATACTTTTCTTTAAACCTGTGTTAAGTGGAATGCTTGGTCTCGTCCTACGCCACCATATCTGAAATCACAGAGCTGATGAGCCCGGTTACCCCTTTGGGAATATATACACGACATATTTTCATGATTATTAAAATAAAAATGTCTCCATCTGTTTGCCACCTGAGATCATCCCCTGTGACCACCGGTGGCACAGATTGTCCACCCGCCCCTCCCTGCTCCCAGGAACCCGGGGAAAGGGCTTTATGAATATGCGTACAGGCACTGGAGTCCGTCCCCTGCAGCCTGCCACCCCCAACTACTGGCCGGGGGACCTTGGACAGGACACATGGCTATGCTGAGCCTCACATGCATCAGCTGAAAAATAGTGGTGAGAAACCCAGGGCAATGTAAGGGCTTGGCAGGTCATCAGTGCTCAGTAAATCCCAGCTGTTCTTAAGGGTTTGAGCCCCAGTTTAGAGGTGCATAAGCTGAAGCTCAGTGAGGGAAATGACTTGCCCAAGGTCACCCAGCTCAGAAGTGGCAGAGCTTGGGTTGGAGCCATGGTTGGGCTAGTGCCACAGTCCAGAACTCATCTTACTCTTACCCCATCATTGTGTTTTCTTCTCCCATTGTCTTCTAGGATCAGTGTGGGCCACTGGAGAAACAACACGATGAGGAAAGGAAGAAGGAAAAAGATCTATAGAAGGAAAACGCGGGGTCCTCTGAAGACATAGCATTGGGTTAGGAGCTCGGGAACTTTGGGACCTATTCTCAGCGCCCCACCCACCCACCTCAGTTGCATCAATAAAGCTTATTCATTTGGAATAGGCAGGCTGTCATTTGCTCATTCATTCATTCATTTATTCATTCACATTAAAGCCAGCTATGAGTTGAGCCCTGGTTAACCACAGGATAAGACCCTGCCCCTGGTTGGAAGAGCCTCTGCTGTAACAACCAGTACACATGCTAGGAGGGATGGTTTGCGCTGACGTGTGGGAGCCCCGCATATGAAGAAAGTTCCTTCAGCAGTGGGGAAGTCTGGGAAGGTTTCCTGGAAGCGGCATCTGAATCAGTCTAGAAAGATTAGGAGCCTCATAGCATCCGTTATTCCCACTGCAAGCGAAGGATCTGAGAAGACATGTTTGAAAAACATCAAGGCAGAGGAACCCTAAGCAGGAGTTCAGGTGGATAAGGGGCAGTGAAGACTCAGGTGTGTGGTGCCGGGCATAAAGGACTTTACTGCAGGCATCACCCTGGCCATCACAGGAGGAGAGCTGGGAGGGGCCAGACTGGAGGCAGGAAGACGGCTGCAGAGGCTGCGAGCATCCTGGCAAGAGGTGGGGAACTGGGCCAGGGCGGGGAAGATGAGGAAGCCTAGGCCAGAGGGGCCGTGTGTCTCCATGAAGAGACCTCAGGGTGCCCATCCAACACCCAAAGGAACTTAAGACACCTAGGGGCGAGGCTGGCCCCTAGAAACCAGCTACCTGGCAAATGTGTTTGGAGCCCTCCAGATGGGGCTGTATCTGAAGCATCTCATGTAGTGGAATGAAGAGAACTGAGCTCCTCAAGCCAGGAGTCCAGCAAGAAAGGCCGGCCTCCTTCCAGACCTGAGGGCTTCGTGATGTATGGTCACGTGAGGGAAGCATGTGAGGTGGCCAAACAGCTGGGGCTGAATTGTTCGAAAAGTTCCCTGTGGGAGTGGCCTAAGCCACCTCGCGCGCTAGGATCATAACCTCAGCTCTTGATGCCCAGGCCTGGCCCACATGCAGACGCCCTCCAAAGGGTCAGGTTCCAGGGACCCAAGACTCCAGCGTCCTTTGCTCATAACTGGAGCCACCGCTGAGCCCAGGGCACTGAGGCTGGGGACACTGCCCTGCCTCTCACCTTGGATGCCCCCCTTCCCATCTTGTTATCTATGGGACAGCCTCTTGGCACCCAGAAGGATATGGTCCCGGAGGCTCAGAACTTACAAGTAATCTTCCCATTTTAGTGTCACTTTCAGCAAGATGCCATTTTCAACTCTACTAAGAAGGGTCAGCTGAAAAATGAAATGGAAATGGGTGCTGGTGAGCAGGGAGAAGCAAGTGAGACGAGAGAGGCGGGGAAGATGGGCGAAAAAGCCACAGGAACAAGCAGGAGTCAGGGGTGAGGTGGGGAAGCATGGAAATTCAGGTAGAGAAAATCAGTAACAAAGAATATGGACTTTGGAGTCAGACCATGGTGAACGCGGGCCGAAACCTCAGACTCCTCATCAATCAAGTGGGGACACAGTGGGAACCTGGAGGGCTGCTGAATGCATGGTGTGGAGCTGGCCATAAACGGCAGTTGTTGTTGCTGTTTGCTACTGAAAGAAGCACTGGAAAGAGTGCAGGCTGGTGCTTTTGCAGAGACGTTTGCTATGTGTCTCGTAACACCTCTGGCCTCAAAAAAAAGGGGCTTGGCCAGACAGTCTCTCCGTACATACTCCTCCAGTCGAGAGGCTTATGGTTCTGAGATGGGCAGAGGGGGAAAGTCGGAGAAATAGATGCTACCAGACAGAGGCAGGAAGTCTGGAAATGTCCACCTAATAGGTCCCACCCCACAGGCCTGATTTTAGAAACCACACATCACCACAAACCCGGGCAGCTTTGGCAATGTTTTTTTTTTCTTCTTTTTTTAAGATCAATTCTTCATTTGCTTTCATAACGAAAATAGAATTTTTAAATGCCTCAAATATACATATATCACTGATGCACACACATTCCAGAAAAGCTGAGGTACACACTGCTATGGGGTTGGGGAGCAGGAAACGGCCTGGCCTCAGGGCCACAAACTGGGGCCTGGCAGGTAGCTGGCTACTAGTCAAATGCCACAGGTCCCCAGGAGAGACTGGGGGTCTTAGGATGAGGTGCTGAGAGGGACCATGGTGGACAGCTTCCCGGGCCTTCCGTGGGGCATCTCCATCCCAGCAGGCCCATGGAAAGGCCGCTCCAACCATGGTGAAGGCGGGTGTGTGTGTGTCATCCTGAGGTTTGCATCCTAAGACATTCCAATGGTCCCAAACTGTCCCACTGCCAGCCACCAGGAAAAACATCCCCAGCCATGTCCTTCCAGAGATGCCTACTCCCAAGTGGCTGGTCACAGGTGGGTGGACAAGTTTGTGCCAGAGACCCTGGCCCCATCCTTTCTTATCTGGCCTCCTAAGGAAGACCCAAGCCCAGGAAAACTCCTCAGTTTAAAACACTATCTGTCCACTGTATATAAAATACATATTATTAGCTGGAGGTGGACACGTACAGGACTGGGAGACTCCCCGAGTTTGCATCTGGACGGAAGGCGGCCTCAGTCCCAGGGCCTCCTTCAGGGGCTGGTCCCCTGGGAAGTTACTTCTCTTGATAACCAGGGCCCTTCCATTTTGAAAACACTGACACTGAGCAGGCAGGGCCTGTGCTGGAGAGAGAGTTCCTGGTGAAGGACCCATGGGCCCTTCGGGAATGGCTCCAGCAGACCTCTGGCTTGAGGGACAGCAGCAAGCTGCCTGCCCACCTGCCCGCCGTCTGTCTCTGAGCCGCAAATTCCATCAGAAGAGGCAGGAGCCTCTCAGGCTGTGGGCCTGGCGCAGGTTGGCCGACAGTGAGCGGCTCATGTGCTTGGTGGTGGAGCGAACACTTTCGGCTGCCTGCACAGCTCGGCTCAGGGCCTTGTTGAGCTCCTCCAGGTCCTCGAGGTCCAGCTGGATAGAGTGCCGGTGTCCTCTGGCTGGCCGGGAGGGGGCTGTGGGGGGCCACTCAGCAGCTGCTTGGGCTGAGGGGGCTGAGGTAGGTCCTCCTGGAGACGCATAGAACCTGAGGAGAGAGGTACGGGCATCATTAACCACAGAGAGGGCTGGGTGGGGCCAAGGAGCGCTGGGTTGACAATCAACCCCATTCTGAGCCCCAGCTAGGCCCCTACTCTCTGGGTCTCAGTTTCTTCACCTCTAACATGGGAACAATAAACACCCACTTTAAGGGATGCGTTGGAAGGATGAAGGAAGATAAATGGAAGTGCCTGACCCAGACCAGGTGCTCAAAGATAGTTCATTCAATCTACCCATTCATTTCTCAACTATTTATCAACCATATGCTGTGTGCCAGGCCCTGGGGTTACAAGCAATGAATGAACAACACAGAGCCTGCTGCCTGCTTGGAGGAACTTACAATAATCTGAGAGCCAGATCTGGGGGAGACCAGGATCACCCCAAGCTCTGTGGCATACTTCCTTCTTTGGAGAGGTAATATAGGGGTGTCCCACTGCCAGTGTGGAGCACTGGAGGAGCGTGAACATTATAACTAGGGCTCTGCAGGAGGGGAGGGTCTGCTTTTACTCATCTAGGGCAGCAGCAGGTGGAAAGGTATCCTCTCCTGGTCCTTTGGGATCGTGGGGTGTTGTTTTAAAGTGCCGCGGGAAATGGGTTGACAAGGCATGAGATGAAGCAGGATTTCTCCAAAAAGTGGCTACTACCTTCTTCCCAGGCTACTAAGTTTAGGGTTGAAAGACACCAGCCTTAGGTGAGAGAAGGCTGTGGACCCTGTGCTGTGGAATAAAATGTGTTGGGAGAGAGGGGGTTAAGGAAGCATTTCACCTGAATAAAGCAGGAGTGAGTTTAGGAGGGCTCGGCCTGACTCATTCAGTGACAGCTTGCTGAACACACTGTAAACTCGGGTCTTATTCCTGACCCTTCAGTTTCTAATTTGCATTATTGGACAGTGTGAAAACAAGGGCTTTGCTAGCATCAGAATAGACGTCTGTCTCTCCAGAGAAAAAGATGTACAAATGTCCAATGAGCACCTGAAGAGAGGCTCAACATCATTAGCCATCAGGAAGATGCACATCAAAACCACAGGAGATGCCCTTCACACACTTCACCCCCATGGGGACGGCTAAGGTAAAAAGGACAGATTGTAGTGAGTGCTGGCGGGGACGTGGAGATAGGAGCCCTCATACACTGCTGGTAGGAATGTAAAATGGTGCAGGCACTTTGGAAACAGTCTGGCTGTTCCTCAGACAGTTAAACACAGGGCTCAGCCTGGGCCCAGAATCCTCACCCTTGGAACCCATGTGCCAGGCTCTGAGACAGGTGCTTCACCAGCACTATCTCGTTGATTCGGTCAGTACTATTACCCTTATTTCGCAGACGAGCAAAGTGAGGCTCAGAGAAGCTAGACGATGCAGGAGAATGACCGCATCCTGGTCGTTTTGCTTAGCCAGCCCCAGGGCCCTCGCCAGGTTACTTCACCTTTTAAGGGGCTCCATTTCCTCATCTAAAACAGCCATGTTTAGCCACCTTCCAGGGTAGTTCCAATAGGAAAATTCAGGTAAAAAGCTCTGTAATCTGCCTAGCCAGGGTAAGTGCTCTGTAAGTATCAGCTACGGAGGCCCAGGGTTTACACCTGAGCTAACGAGCACCCAGCAAAGGCTGATACGTATCACCTGAACCAAATGAGCAACTAAACGGGCTCCTTGAACCCAATTCCCCACTTCAGGGACTATCTGGTGTAATTGCTGCGTTCCCCCCCACCCTTACCCTCTGATAATCTGACGACCAGCTTAGCCTGAGAGTTGCCCAAAACTTCCCCTAGGACAGAAGCTACAAAAACAAACCAACAACCAGCCCTCCTGGCTAGAGAGCCTTTGGTGCAGGGGCTATACGCCAGCAGACCACCAGGTGGCAGCACAGGCCCATTCAGTTTTCTAAAGGGCACACAGGCCTCAGCCACTAAGCATGCTCACTCAGGCTGGCAGCTGGAGAAACTTGAGGGCATCATCAGGCCAAGTAACTATGGTTACTGGCCACCCTCGATGTACTATGGGCTTTCTATACATTAGTTCATTTAATCCTTACCACAACCCATTTCACAGAGGAAAACACTGAGGCACAGAGGAACCAAGTGACCTGCCCAAGATTATATAGCTACTGCTGGCCACATCTGTCTGGCACGAAAGCTCAGGGCCCCTCTCCTCCCCATGGCCCATCCAAGCCTGAGGACAGCTACCTGATCAGTTCTGTCCACAGGCCTGAGCCTAGAAGGATACGGAACGGCTTCAGAAATAAAGAGACCCCATGGTCACCATAGGCACTCAAGAGTTTATCCTGAGCTACCAAATTCCAGGCAAAACCTTTCCTGCCCAATAAGTCAGAGTGTAGGCAGTTGTCTCCATCACTTCATCCAGAAGCCTGAGCATGAATATGGCCTCTCTTAGTTGCTGGGGTGAAAGGTTCCCTAACGACTTGCCCAGACTCAGCTGAGAGGGCGGCAAGAGACCAGACTGTAGGCCAGAGTCCTCATAGGGGACTGGGGCTGGACAGTACCTCGTGTCTTTGCTCCCAGCAAATGTCAGCTCTCACAGGGCCTCTGGCCCCTGACTGCCCACAGACACAGGCCTCTTACGACACGCCGCTGAGGAAACATCCCAACTGACTCATTTTATAGTGAAGGAAACTGAGACATGGAACTCGGGGGTGATGGTCAGGCCACGAAGACAAGCCTCCTAAATTCCAGGCGCCAGGCTTTTTTCCGCCCCC